GTGTATATATTTTTAACATATATTATTGTTCATGTAGCAAATATGCAGTATAAATTATACACAGTAGAGAAATGAATTGCATAACAATTCGCAGCTATGCTGTTAAAACAACTATTAAATTACAATTAAATTACTTTTAACATATATTATTATTAATCAGTTTGCTTAAATTAGGGGTTATTTTCATGTAGCAAAATTTAAGAACTGTGGCAGTATTTACAGTTTCTGTATTATTATTATTATTTTTTTATTGTCTGGCAGAATGAATGTGGTCTTGAAGCTTGTCTTTTCATACTGAGTTTCTAAAAAACGAGCACATTCAAACCAGAAATAGAAATAAACATGGAGTCGCTATGTCTAGTTTAAGTGACTCCCCCTGTCCCCCCCCTGTCACCCCTCCCCCACGGCTGCTCGTTTCCACTGTTGGCAGGTTGTCACTACAGTGTGAACAAGCTGCCGTGTGGTTGTCAGAATATTAGTGATTTTCTCCAAACGGCCTCTGTGTCCTCTGTCAATACAGTCCCACAAAACATGTGTCCTCACTGTCCTTCCACTCTGCCTTCAGGTCTTTTTCTCTTAGTCCATTCATCTGAACTCCTTTTCTTCTTTGGCCTGATTGTTTTTACCCCCACACACATCCTTTCTACCCCTCCCTCTATTTTTTCATTGTCTTTGTTTTGTCCTTCATCTCTCCCTGGACAGTCCATGGTTCTCATTAACTTCTTTATGCTTTAGTAAATTATAAATTGTAAATGTTATTTATTCAGTGGTTTGACTTTTGCAGCCTGAAGCCATCTCCACCTTTACATCTGAACCGGCCTTGGTCTCCTTTGCCGAGCTTTTCTGCAAAACATCTGAAGGGACAAAACAGGCAAGTCACTTCTAAAGACATTTCTACTGATTTAAAAAAAAAAAAGAAGTCAGGAACAAATGTCTATTCTGTACAGATTCAAAGTTGAATTCTGTGAAGTTTGTCTGGATGATGTCACCCTTTGGTTTCTTTTGCTGAGCGCAGCTTTAACATAGCGACTCACACATTTCTTGATCCCACCATCTTTAATTGAATTCGCTGAAAATATGACAAACTTTATCCACTGGTAATCTTGTATTCTGACTACAGTCAGTCTACCCTCCCACCCCCCTTTTTTTAATTTTTCTATTTTTTTCCACTGTATTCAAAGTGTCAAACACATCCTCTGTGTTTACATTGAGGACGTGGTGTTTCCTTGGTGAATAATTGCAGATTTATTGATTTTAATCCCGTCTGGTTTTTAATAATGTGGTGTGAAATAGCACTGTGTCTGGACCTGGATATACAGACACGTTGTGCTTTAAAAAAAAAAAAAAATTAATGAAATATATATTTGCACATATATATACTCAACTTCCAAATCTGTCTACATCATCTGCATCCTGCTCCCGGGCCAATAAGAACACACATGGTGTGTGTGTGTGGTTACTGACAGTGAAGTGCAGAGAATATAATAATAATAATAATAATAATAAAAACAAACTCAGGTGAAACGTTGTGTGTTGCAGAGAGAGGACACTCTGCTGTTCTCGGCCATGCTGTACGAGTGCGTGACGCAGGAGTGTCCAGAGATGCTGCCTACGTACATAGCTATTGAGCAGGTAAAACACACACACACATACACACACACACACTGTATGATGCTGTTGATCTGTTGAGTCACCTGATGTGTGTCTGTCCCAGTGCATTAACAACAGCAGGCAGCAGTGAAGTTAACCATGAGTGAACTCCGGATGTTAGTGAGCTAAGGCCGTTCTAAGGGACCTTTGCATGAACTTGTGTAGAAAAGAGAAGAGAAAATTTTGACATTTCCTTTTTGAAATTCATATTTGTTTTTGTTTTTTTTGTCAAACTTGAAATCATGTCAGAAAGACTTTCTGGATGAGAAGGAAATAACTCTGTGTGTCTTTCTTGGTCTTCCTCAGGCTGTGCACGCTCTCCGTCAGGGTGACCTTCTGGAGACCTTCCCTCTGTGGCAGTTGCGTTTAGTGGTGGACCTTTGGGACAGCAGGATGCTGCGCGGCGCTGCCAATCACCACCCCTCCGAGTTCCTGCCGGTGATGAAGAACATGGTGGACAGAGCTCTGGACAGCTGGCTCAAAGGTGAGGACGGAGACTCTGCTGTGTCGTTCCTCCAGCGCTTCTGTCTTGGAATGTATTATACTGTGGTGGTTTCTCTTTCCTCTCTTCTTGAGAAAACAATAAGACGTTTTTTCTTGGAATGTGAATATTTTCCACAGGAACACAGTTCAGGAAGAGTTGTCATTGTCACAGCAGTTTTTTTTTTCTTCCCCAAACACTGGATGTGTCTCTGCATGTTTTCCATGACTGGGTGCAGCACATTAATGTCATAGTTTGGAAGTCAAACAGTGCGTGTGTATACACCCAAACAGTCACACATTCCATCTACTAACCCGCACATGTACACACACACACACACACTTACAGTAATACACTGGAACTGTGCTCAGTGTGGGAAACAGGTGGGTGGGCGGAGCCTGTGATGTAACCTATGATTACCTTCCTGTTTAACAGAGACTCTCGTCTCCAGCAGATATTTGGTGTCAGTGAAAGAATGAAAAGTGCAGTGGTGTCCTGCAGGCCGTCAGAACTGTGGTCGGCCAACGCCAAAAACTGCCCCCCTCCCTGAGTCCAGTTATATATATTTTGGTGATGAGAGTTAATTAATATTAGTCAATCACCAAGTTGTTGTCGTTTGACGTTAAAGTTACTAAAGTTAAGAGATTGGCCTTTTTTTAAAACCTCAAGTAAGTCGTGATCCCACATTATATGGTACATATTTAACCAAAGTGTAAGATACAAATAATCAAAAACCACAGTATTACAGATATTATTTTAATTATAATTAATTTACACTCATATTCAACTTGATTATGAAATCAAACAACAAAATGGCAGAAATGTCTGTTCACAGTACACCAGTACATCACAGCCGTAAGGTGCTGAAAAGGTTTTTAAATTGTCCTTGAAAATACTTGAATTTGGCCCAAAAATCCCCCCCAAAAAAACCCTTTATCATCGTCTCTGGTTTTAAACAAAGGTTGTCAGTTACTTTCATTCAGTTTTTTGTGTTTACAGTACACACACACACGTGTTTTAACTGGTGCACTTCATGTTTTCTCCCTGCAGAGAACAGCTCAGTGTTGAAGTCTTACATGAGCGGTGAAGTTTTTCCCAGAGACGCTGAGTCCGTCACGCTGCCCTGTTTCCTGGTATACAGATCCGTTCCTCGGCTCAGGACAACGCAAACACAGCTGGAAGGCAAGACACACACACACACGCATGCACGCGCAAACAAACCCACATCCATGTGTTAACATTGGACTGATCCTGTTTACCTTGACACAGCACTGTGTTGTCAGCAGCTGAAATCCACCTGTTGGTGCTTCACGTGTCTGATCAATGTTTGGATAAGTCATACTTCAATGAGACGGTTTTTATACTTCAAATGTTGTTTTTACTTAAAAGGTCTGGAAAATTTTGTTTTAAAAAAGAAACATGAGAGCAAACCTCAGTGATAAGAGATACAATCACCTGACTTAATGAATACCTGGGCGCTGCAGAATTACAGTTTGTGTTTCTGCCTCTGCTCAGAAGTTGAGTTTTGTATAAATACGGCTAAAACCCTGTCAACACTGCTAAATGTTAGCTTTGTGCACAAACGAGTTCTCAGAGTGACGCACGCGCTCATGCATCTGATTCATTCTCTAAGTCAATATTACTGTATATTAAGCAGCAGTACTTGTATATAAAATTGGACAATATTACTGTTGTACATATTTTACTGGAACAGTAGGTACCAGAGAAGTCGAAAAAAAAAAAAATGGCCGACAGCTCATGGCTTGTTATCAGATCAGACAACTGCAGGTTTTAATTTCAGCCTGGATCAGTCAATAAAGTTGCTTGTTCTTCTTCTCCTATTCACACAAATTTGAACTATATTATAGTTTGTGGATCTATACATCATCAAACTCAAGGCCCGGGGGCCAAATGTGGCTGCCAAGCCATTTGCAGCCTGCGGGAACTTAAAAAGCCTTTAGTAAAGGCCATGCAGCAGAGTTTCTTAAACTTTTAAACATTTAAAAAAATGCTGAAAAAAATTCACCTTGTTCTCGTTGACATACTAACAATTACTTTTCAGTGATGCCCCTTGACCCTCTCTCTCTCTCCCTCTGTCTCTGTCCATAGGCTGCAGCTCACTTGGAGATGTGCTGTCCCGCAGCAGGGAGCTGGGCATCCCCCTCAGAGACCTGGTGAGACTGGGACCCGTCCTGCTGGGCTCTGCGTTAACGCCGGCAGGTTTCCCTCTGCAGTCGTTTTGATCCCGGCGATCAGAGCGGCAGGACTGACAGACTGGTAACTTCTCAGTTCATAGCCTCACGGTTCCACACATGTTCATAAAGACGTGACACCGGGACTGTTTACGAACACAATCAGACGTGGGGAGACATTTGTGTCTCTTAGATGTCAACGGGAAGGACACTTTTTTTTTTTTTCCAACAGGTTCGTTTCATCTCGTTCGTGGGGAACAGATAAATAAAATAACTTTGTAATATAACATGTATAGTTTTTTTTCTTAACAACCACAATTAAACTATAAGCTTTTAATAATTTTTTGCCTCAAGTGCCTCTCGTCCAACGAGGGCAACTTTTATGTTATGCTGCAAATCGAGGAGATTAAAAGAACCTGGTAGTCAGGGTAAAAACTTTCACCTCGGACCCCTGACCTCTCCGTCTGTGAGGACAGTAGGACAGAGGAGAGACAATAAAACCCTGAAGCACTGGCACAATACGATGTTGGTGTTGATTCTGTGTCTGTATCTTCATCAGAATAATAATATGCAAAAGTTAGGAGAGGCAAATTATTTTTTTCTTCCACCCTTTTACATACAGTGGCATCAGAAACTTTTTTTAAAATATATCCTACTTCAGAGCATAAGAATGTTGTTATGTTAGAAACTCAGAAACTTTTTTTTAAATATATCCTACTTCAGAGCATAAGAATTGAAAACATCCAGAGCACAGTGGCTGCTAATCCTAGGCGGCGGCGGCAGGTTTGAGGTTTGTTTGACTTTTCTGTCTTCTACAACGCCCTCTCATATATTTATAACCCAGTGTCTTCACACGATGTGTCCTGCGTTCTGCTGCTCGACTAAATGTAGAAAAAGCCCAGTGTCATGAAGACGCTGTGTGGGTGGTTGGATCATTTTTAAACAACAGCCTTGAGACATTCCGCAGAAAATGGAAAACATTTGAAACAAACAAGAGGTCCACACCCGCTGTACAGAGCGGCAGCACAGAGAGAAGCTCACTCCCAGGATTGTGAAATGTGTGTCTGTGTGTCTTTGTGAAATCTTATTGTTTCTCTCATTATCTATTTCACAAAACGACTTCTCACCGGTTTGTCAAACCTTTTCTAATCAGTAATAGACTGGAAGAATCACAGGCCAACACGAGACACGTCGTTTCTTTTTTAAGGATGTAAACAACACTGTTTGGAACTCGTGACTTGCGTCTGGATCCGATTTAACAAGAGGAAGTGTTTGGTTGTTTCTTTCATGTTGTTTCTATTATAATCCTTGGTTGGACTCGTTTCTCAGTGTCTGAATGAACGTCTACTGTGTCTGGCTGGACTTCTTTCTCCAGAACTTTAGGTTAGTTTCCCTCAGTCTCAAACGAATTCCTACTGTTATCAACCGTCGATGATGACCTTTTTTTTTTATTGTTTATTTTTTCCATGGCATTTTGTTATTGATCTGCTAAAAATGGCCCCATCTTTAAGTAAAAACATATAATACCAAATAGGTGGAAATGTGTTGTTTAATTGGATGAAATTTGGGCTGTGAAAAAAAACCCCAAAAATAATACAATAACACAATACAATAGTCACAATAAATTGTACCGTTGCCGCCGTATCGTGAATACGTATCATATTTCCAGATTTTTGTCAACACACATTCCTACTTCTCATCCAATTGTGGTGACATTTACACACACTGTGGGGAAAAAAAGAGTTTCTGTTTCACCAAAACATGTTAGTTTCACAATCTCTACTTCTATCTTCTTTATCTGTCTAGATGACTTCCTGTCCTCCGTGTGAAGATCTCCCAATTTTTTGGCCAATGAGCATCTTGGAAATTCTATGTTGGCACAAATAAATATTCCACGTCTTAGCCTTAGTTTGCTGAAGAGAGCAGGGAAAAGAGAGAATTCCAAATTGTGGGAGTAATTCCGCTCGTAAGGGTGGACGACATGCATCATGTAAAACATCTGGTCCGCCCACGTTCAACATGTTTAACATCCCATCAACATGACGAGCTGTTGGTTCAGTTTCAGAACAGACCATTGAACATAACTTCCACACCACAAAATCTGTCCAGACCATCATCAACATCCATCAAGTTCTAGTCCCGGTCCTGTGGGACACTCTTATTATATGCATTCTAATATCTGTAATAAAATAAGTGTTTCATTTGCAGAAATAATAGAAAATGTACAGAATCCACGTGATGTCGATCCATGAAAACTCACTAACTTTAATTCATGATTGTCATACTTCCTCTGTTCTCTTGCAGTAATAGAGTTATTCTCCTTTTCTCACCTGGAACAAATCCAGTGAGTCCTTCTTGTGGAAACCTAACTTTTGGCTAGGGTTGCACATTCCCTGGAGCACTCTGGCGCCGCCCGCAGGGAAGGTGGACCTCATAACTTTGTGAACGACTACTATGGTGAGAAAGTTGTATCTCTGCATAGGTGTGGACTTGCTTTTTGTTAATATGTATTTGACATAGTTACATGATGATGGACATATATGAACAGTACATGAATATTCAGGGTTTTTTAGTTTTTTTTTTTAGATGCATTCCTATCTCACTGCTTTATCTTTACTGTTGTTTAATTGAATCTGTTTCCACTCTTTGTGGAAAAGGTGGGCGCAGCATACAGGGTCTCATTTCCATTTAAAGGTAAAGTCTAGGAACACCACCTCTGGTGAAGGCACGTCTGAAGAACCCAGCCGTGCTCAGTCATCAGCCTGTGACTAACGGCTGACGCTGACATCAGGGAAACAGATTCATCGTCTCCGTTGTGTTGCCGTGGCCTCGGACTTCTTCTTCTGCCGTCTTTTCTACTCGGTTCCTAAATCCCTCTGAGATGGTGTAACACTGTGGTTCTTTTGTTTGGTACCAGTCTACTGTGGGTGTGTGTTGTGACACAACCTTGACTGTTTGTCTTCTCTCAGTCTGTGGGAACACCAGCGCTGTCTCCAGGAGGGGAGAAAAAAAAAACAAACAAAAAAAAAATACTTGTGCGTTTGTTCCCACAATAGGACAGTCTGTGTGGCAGAGACCACGCCCTCCAGCGCCGTGGTTTTTCTTGCTCCGACTCTACATGCTTTGAATCTGTTTTAAGCCTTTTCAGTGAGGGACACTTGAAAGTCCTGAAAGTCCCCCCCTCCCCCCTCCCCCCTCCCACACCTCTCGGTTGTGACTGTTTTACAGGAAAGGAAGATAAATTTAAAACTGTCTTCAATCTGTGTGACATTTCTTTTTCAGTATGACTTTTTTTGTTTGTTTTTGCTTCAGTGACTGGAAGTCAGTTTGTGTCTCAGAATGTATTTTAACAACTGCATATTATATACAGTAACAGTGATTGTACAAGTAGCTGTTAGCGTATTAGCACTAGCAGTCGCAGTATTAGAAGTAATTGATCATTAGAACTGGGGAAATATTTGTATTAACAGCGGATCTGCTGCAACAGCCCCGCCCCCTAGAGGCACCAAGGACGTGGTTCCTCTGGGAATCGAACCCAGGACTCTCTACTTGCAAGGCTGACACGCTACACTGTAGAACCAACCAGCAGCAGCTGTAGTAGTAGTGGCAGTTGTACTAGTACCGCTTGTAACAGCCGCAGCAGTTGCTGTAGTATTGCAGTAGTATTGCGTTAGTTGAGGTAAAAACAGGTCAATGTTTTTTTTTTAGTTTTTTTTTTTTAGCTTGTCATTTGTTCTGTGACATCATCAGCATCCATGTGTTTCTCTCGTATGACGTTCGTGCACCAGTCACACCGTGTCTGCCTGTGGATTCGGACAGTTCTCTCGTTCTCTCTCCAGCGCCTCACGTTCCTCTGATGAAGAGCGCTTCTGTTCAGAGATGCTAAACTTAGGAGAACGTGTCGTTTCACAAACCCTCCCAGGAGGAAGTAAAAGCAGAAGTGGTGGCAGAAGCTGGGGTCACTTCTCTGAAGCTTGTTTCATGACATGTTTCCTCACAAAGACACACACTTTTTCTTTAGTTTTGTATTTTTTTAAATTTTTTTTTAATTTATTGTAAAAATCCACTTCTTTGATGTTTTATATATTTGTAGTTCCATGTGTCTGCTCTCTGGTCCAGGCTCCGGTCTGGTCTGGTCTGGTCTGATGTGTAGAATATCCTCCTCCTTCAGGGCTGTCTTCAAACTTCAACTCTCTCTAACTGCTGACACAATCAAAGTTATGAAATGACCAGTTAAGAGTTACACAATCCTCGTGTCAAACACAGAAAGAGCAGATCTGATGTCAGCACTCTTCAAAGTTGACTCGTGTTAAAAGTGTGGACGTTAGATGAGGGAGAAGTGCCGGTGTGACGTCATTTCAGGGACTCCTCCCATGACAGATGTCCTGCGAAGACTCCCTCATGGCGTCTCTCAAATGAATGTACTGGACTTCCTGTGGAGAACAAAATGAATGAGAGTGACTACAGAGAAAACCATTGTGATCACAACGGAGTAAAAAAAAAAAAAAAGATCTAAATAGTCTGAATATGACTGTAGCGAGGAACCAGAATGACCACAAAACCAGAGTAAAAGCATCAAAGTGAGCAGAGAAAAAACAGCACAAGTGACACGGGAAAACTGAAGAGAGACCAAAGGAACTGAGAGGAAATAAAAAAAAACAAAGAGAGAATAACTGAGGGGGAGAAGAGGAAGAGCAGAGAGAGGTGAACAGAACAGGCAACGACAACAGGCGACAACATTGACAACAGGCGACAACAGCAAATGACAACAGGCATCAACATTGACAACAGGCAAAGACAACAAGAATGACAGGCATCAACATTGACAACAGGCATCAACACATTGACAACAGGCGACAACGACAGGCAACAAGCAAAGACGACAACGACAGGCAACAACATTGACAACAGACGACAACAGGCAAATGACAACAGGCAAAGACAACAAGAATGACAGGCATCAACATTGACAACAGGCAACCATGACAGGCGACAACATTGACAACAGGCGACAACATTGACGACAGGCGACAACAGTAAACGACAACAGGCAAAGACAACAACGACAGGCAACAACATTGACAACAGGCGACAACAGCAAATGACAACATTGACAACAGTTGGCAACAACGAAAACAGGTGATAGCAATGACAACAAGCAACAATGACAACAGGAAACTGGCAGCGACAACACGCAACAATGAGAACAGGCGACAAAAGTACAGACAAATTATTAATTTATCTTCTGACACTAATATTATTAAGGGTCAATCCCAGTAGTCGTCAGGAGAGGGCGGGGTTGTACCCTGGACAGTTCACCAGTCAGTACCAGCAGCAACAGTGACACCTAGTCACACATTTGACATTTAAAAAAAAAAAAAGCATCTGACCACTGACCAAAGTTTTTGTTTTTTTTTTATTCATAGTTTTCATTCTCAGTCATAGTTTTTTTTTATATGTTTCTGTATCAGCTGACTAAAAATGGAACTTGACGTCTGACTGATCTGTCTCTTCCTCTTGTTTCTATTGTTTCAGTTTATTGTCATTTCCTGGATCCTGGAGGAACAGAGTGAACTTCGAAACACAGAAGCCCATTGTTAACACCAGGTCAGTCGCAGGTGTGTGTGTGTGTGTGTGTGTGTGTGTGTTTGCATCCCAATCATACCAAGGCTGCCCTTTGGCACAGGGCTGCGTACAGAGGGCAGGGCCGCTCAGAATGTGGGTGTGACCAAAGTTGAAAAGATGTGTGACAACTCTGACAGAGAACTTTTCCTCCACAGAATGAATGGTGGAGCTGCAGAGGCCGGAGGTGAGGCGGAGCACAGCACAGCACAGCACAGCACAGCACAGCACAGCTGCTGAAGAGCTGTGGCGATGAAGTCTCAAAGTGCAGCAGAGAAGAGAGCCGTTGTCCTGCGCGTCTGCGTGAAATTTGAAAAAAAAAATTTCAAAAGTGAAAGAGAAGACGTGCGCAGTGCGCGCCTGGCTGACAGAGCTGCAGAGGTGAGTCCAGAAAATGTTCTTTACTTTATTATATATATATCTATATATCTTTATAGAAAATACGACCGTAGCTACAGCGACTTCCTTCCAAAGAAAACTTTTTTTTTATTTTGTATATCTTTATAGAAAATACGACCGTAGCTACAGCGACTTCCTTCCAAAGAAAACTTTTTTTTTTTTCTGTGTGCAATATTTCAAAAAATTGTAAAATTTAGACTTCAGTGGAGACTCAGCAGAAGTGACGAGTGTTTTAAAAGTAAACTTTTGCGCAGTCGTGCGTAAAGGGCGGTTTTTGCAGCAGAGATGATCGGAAGTGAATGTGGTGTCAGGTACAGAGAGTAACCCGTCCTTCCTCTTCCTTTTCTGGGGCAAGGACACAAAAAAAGGAGATTGAATGACATGACCTAAAAAGGTGTCACACCGGGCCCAAAAATCCCCCCCCCCCCCCCCCCCCACAGTGTTCTGACGCAACAACCTGCCCCCTGTCTTTCAACCCGTAGCTCGTGGGCTGCAGTCCACTCTGTGACCACACAGACGTTGGACTAACGCAAGAATGGACGTTGAAAAAAAATTTTAAACTTTTACTGGAATGTCATGAACATCGGCCCAGATTTACGTGGACGTGGGCCACATAAGTAAACGACCCGTGTGGGCCATGTTCTCTGGATTTGCCTCGTATGTAAAAATCAAGTCAAGTCTCGACTAAATAGCACTCATTTGGATGAGAGTTTGCTTAAATAAATACCACATGTGGCCCAGATAGAATACTTCAATATGGCCCATGTAGGCTTCTCTGAACTGGACCTGGGCCACAGACAGTGATGCTGTGGTGATTTGATCACTTCAACAAAGATGTAGATTTTTATTTTTTTATTTTTTAATCAACCAGTCCTAAAACCTGGATGGTATTTTTGATAACACTGTTTGGTCCAAACATATAAATATATATTAGTTTATATTTCTGTGACTAGAATTGAACCTTTTTTCTTTCAATTCTCCGGCCGATGATCACGTGACCACCACGTCTCACCTCTTCACTTTCAGACCAATTAGATGTTGAAGATGCGGATAAACTTACTCGTGTAGTAGATATCTCGGTGAGTGAGTGTGTGTGTGTGTGTGTGTGTGTGTGTGTGCGTGGGAGAGAGAGTTTCATAATGAGTGACATGGGGTTTCCCTCTCCCCGTTTCCTTCATTCATGTGGCTGGAGACGGAAAGAAAAAGAGCTGCCGACCCGGAAGTGAGCTGAGATCTGAGTGTGTCTGAAGGAGGAAGAGTGTGTGTGAGTGTGTGTGAGGGGAGGGAGAGTTTGGTTTGCACACATTTCCATTTCATTTCCCTCATGTAGCATTTTCATATAAGAAGATTAAAGAGTTCAGACAACGCTCTCTCTCCTCCGGCTTCAAACTTTGCATACGTGTCTTCCTGTATGTGCTGCTGCTCGACTCGTTTCCTTCTTCTACTTCCTTGTGACCTCGGCAGCCGCAGCAGGGGCCCCCCGTCAACCCGTT